AATTTAAATGAAATGAGCCACATATATACACATACACACACACATATATATATATATATATATATAAAATGTTTATTTAGAGATGATGATAATAACGTTTTGCAATAATTAAATTAGGATTTGAATTATAATATGAAAGAATTGTCGTCGCGAACATGAAGTTCTTTGTTTGCCTAGTCTGTGGCTTTTCTATATTTTATGAGCCGAGTTGCGTCTGGTCAACACGTGTTTAGTGTCCCATAGAAAAAGAATTCACAACCTTTTCAAGTGGATTTTTATGATCTTTTTATGGTTTATATTTCAACTTGAAAGCAGGGGAAACTTGGAATCTTATTTCCTATTGCCATTTTACCAAAATTTTTATTCTGAAAAATGTTTATTTTGTACATTTTGGGAACAAGAGTTTGAAAGGAATTAAAGCGTTACGGAATATTATTTAAAATTAGTCGTGCTTTTTACGAATATCTGAATAGTTTTATTTTAAGAAGAATAAAATATTAAGAGACAGTTAAATTAATTCTTAACAAACTTTAATATTAAAATTTAGCGCTTTGATATACAGTCAGAAAAGTTCCATGGTAGTCACAGCCCATGAGTGCGAGTGAGACAAACTTATGCGTAACGCATGCTTTCCTATGGCTACCATGGTACTTTTCTTACTGTATCGTAATTCAAGATATCGAAAATAAAGTCGAGCGAGAATACAGTCGCTCGTTACAGTATCTACACGCGCCACCTCGCAACGAGGCGAAACCAACTTATGCTCCTTTCATATTTAGCATACAGAACATCGATGTTTGAATGTTCTTGTCTTATTACTCCATGGTTCTTGTCGTAAAGAACACACAAGTTGGCTCGATGGTTCGACGACTCGGTGGTTCGATAAATCCATTCATCTTTAAATTATAAGATGAAATTTGTTGTATTTAAAAAATCTATATGTATAATAATTGCAATAAATTTTTTAATATTAGTATAACAACAATTAATATTAAAAATATTAAAGTAAATGAATAAATATAAATTTATAAACAGCGTGTTCAAAAAGTTGCAAGTTTCCATACTTTTTGAACATCCTGTATATATTTAAACATAACCTTATATAAAAATGAATCTATATATTATATTATTTTATATTATATAAAAACACAAGAATCTGATTCACTTTAAAATAACTATATTCTCTATATTTAAAATTAAAAAATTTAATCAAATTATTCAACATAAGAAATATTTCATCTTATAATGATTTTATAATGAACAATATCGAATCACCGAGCCATCGAACCAACTTGTGTGTTCTTTACGACCGGAACATTGAAACATCGATGTTCTGTGTGCTAAATATGAAACGAGCATAAGTTGGTTTCGCCTCGTTACAGGCCTAAGCAGAATAGATTCTTGAACGGAAACGCAATCGTAAACGGTGACGTAAGAATGAGTAAGAGAAGGATAGCAAATATCTTTATTCTTCTCTCACTCATTCTTACGTTTCAGTTTACGATTGGGATCAGAAATCACGCGAAACTGACCCACCCCTTTCTTGTGACAACCATCTTTCGTACCTAAAGGCGCTTGTATACCTTACCGATCCCGAGTATTCTATCGTCGTGCAGCATTGGAGTAAAAGAGACAAAAGATAATTGTGTTTCTTTTACTCCAATGGTACACGACGGAAGTATACTCGGGATCGGTGAGGTATACAAGCACCTTTAGGGTGCAGTCACATGAAGGCGCGAGTGCAGAATGCAAAGTTGAAAATCATGAGAATGAAAAAGATAGCGATATCTTTCTATCTCTTTTGCACTCATGGTTTTCGGCTTTGCAGTCTGCATTCTCGCCGTCATGGGACTTCACCCTAAACGTTTGTGTTGCGTGACTGACGGGTTGGTTCGCAAGCGCAGTGACATCATCAAAGCATTGATACCAATCGCGAACAAAAAGTGTGGTTTATGATTTTAAGACACTGAATTTTTTAATTATTAATATTTTGTTCATTCATTTTTTTTTAATTCAATTAAAATTATTAAAAGCCGTCGAGAAACATGTGCATTAAAAATTGTAAAGTTGGAAAACAGGAGTAAAAAGAACATAAACCAAACTTTTTGTTCGCGATTGTTATCAATGCTTTGATGACGTCACTGCGCTTGCGAACTAACGCGTCAGTCACGCAACGCAAACATTTAGGAACCTATTGGAGAAAGGCCTTAATTGTGCGTTAAAAAAGGTTCCGCCAATGTTTCGCGCAACCGTTTTTCAACGCACAATTAAAGACGGTTGCGGGAACTTACATATCCCGTATCTGACTTCTGTACACGCCTCAGTTGTGCTTAGGCCTTAAGGCAGTTCAACTTGTGACATAGATGACGTCACTCATGAAGTAATAATGAGGAGACTCAACTCTGTATTTGCCATCTTTCAAGGTCACTGTACCGTAAGTAACATGTTCGCTAAAGGGAATTAACTTTCGAATGAGAGCGCATGTGCAGTGTTATATACGTGCCTCTCTTTAACTAATAGGACAAGTGCGACTGAGAATTATTAGTTGAATTTAAATTTATTTGATAAACATTTCAACTTACCGATTTATTTTCAGCACTCATTATTTATTACAAGTTAAAAAGAACCGACATAACATAAACAAAACTCTGAGAGACACTAACAAGGAAGAAGCACTGTACAAACCATTTCACAAACATCGTCATTTTACACTTTCTTGTAGCAGAAAACGTTTTAAAGCAAAATTTGCTAAATTTTTTAATCAAATCATCTCTCTATCACTATTTTAAAGTGTTCTTACATATTAAAACAATTATTTAATATTATATTTCTTAAAAAAACATTTTTTGTTTAAAACAATTCAAAAATACCCGCCGTGAAAATGACTTTTCACGCATTTTCACGGTCCAGAAATAATGTTCATCTGATCGAAATTTGAGGTATATAAGCACCTTTACTTTGGCTAGATGAGTCATCTCAAGAACACCTGCATATTCCAAGGTCAGAGGTAGAAGGTAATATATGACTCATGCCGTAAATGACCGTTTGTAAATGACAAGGACACTCTTTTAAATACGCAAACAAGAACATGACTCATAATGCGTATTTTAGTACAAAAACTGCGTTTTATGGACACCTGCAAGCACACCTGCATCTAAGATCAAAATAGAGGAGAAAAATAGGACAGATCAATAGACCTTTTCATGCTGATCGTTCTGTCCTTATCTAGCGCATACAATGACGCATGAGTTGGAATAGGACAAAATGATCAGCATGAAAAGGTCTATACCAAGAACTTGACTCTCATTGGTGGCATTATTCCGAGTAAATCATTTCTCTGATACAGGATTGGCTGGGACCATAGACCTAAGATCGGGAGAAGAGTAGGAATACTCCTATAAAAGAATGAGGATCGGGAACAGAGATTCAGAAGGAAAAGAAGGAGATGAATAAAGGCGCTTATACAGACAACTCCGAGTTGCTTGATAATTCACCTTTTCTAACACATGTGTTGCCATGACAACACGTGCGTAAGACAAGGACAAAAAAGTGTAGGCATATACCTAAGAAGCACGTAATATATCCTCAATATCAAGGTAATATTACACGTGAGATTCGTAATATAACGCTGTAATATTACAGTAATCTTACAGTGATCTTAAAATGTCCGCCTCAAGGTAATATTACCGGGAATATTACTGTAATATTAACGGTAATATTACAGTAATATTACAGACTGATTTAAGTTATTCATAAAGCATAAAAAACGTAAATATATTATAAGTCAATTTGGCTTGTTGGTAAAACTCTGGACTCGTGTGCTTTGAGTTCGGGGTTCGATTCCCTGGATGGGTAGATTTTTTTCGTAAAGAAATGTTCCCATAATATTACTGTAATATTCTCTTGTAATATTACCTTAATATTACGGTATAATATTACTGCAATATTACTGTAATATTACCTTAATATTAGCGCGTAATATTACAGTAACATTACCGGTAATATTACCTTGAGGCGGACATTTTAAGATCACTGTAAGATTACTGTAATATTACAACGTTATATTACGAATCTTACATGTAATATTACCTTGATATTAAGGTTATATGACGTGCTTCTTGGGTACGGCCAAAAGTGTACATTCCTGGCCGGATATTCCTACACAATTTTTTCCTTTTCTAACGTAAGTGTTGTCATGACAACACGGGAGTTAGGACAGAAATGAGTAGGGCCGTTTCCGAATTGGAATTTTAAGTGCACTTTTGAAAAAGTGTGTGCTCGGGAAGTATGCAGTGTCCTTTCTTCGCACGGAAAAACAAGGGCCGTTTCCGAATTGGGATTTTTAGCACATTTTTGATAAAGTGTCCTTTTTTCGCACGGAAAAACAAGTGCGACCATGTGGGTAGAATAGTGGAATAGTAGAATAGTGGAATAAATGTCGACCAATGAGATGAGTCTAGGGGAATTGGACTTAAGGTGTTAAAATGTGAATATCGTTTTGAAATCTATGTGTTTGATGGTTCGTGATAGTGAAATCATTTATTAAGGCCTTTCTCCAATAGGAACCTAAACTTTTGCGTTGCGTGACTGACGCATTGATTTTAGCATTGGTTGCCAATAGCAACCGACGCAATGCATACGCAACGCAAGAGTTTAGGATCCTATTGGAGAAAGGCCTTTAAAGGCCAACCCAGAATAGAAACGTAACCGGAATCGTAATCGCAAACGCAACCCGAATAATGAGTTGAAGCAGAACAAACAATATGTCTACCCTTCTCTAACTCATTCTTCCGGTTGCGTTTGCGATTACGATTCCGGTTACGTTTCTATTCTGCTCAGGCCTTAAGAAAAAGGACTTTTTACAAGAGAATTCTCCAGTTGTCGGCCATATTGAATTTCCCCCACTGAACACAAATGACGATAGTTGGTAGCCTTGTATTGGCATAATATATTTATTTATCAATGTTGGTAATACAATATATGATACTAACCGGTAACTTCAGATTCCAGTTGACAGGAATAGAGAGGGGAATAAAATTGGGGGTAATGAAGATAGCCCTCAATTTCGAAGGTCCAAAATCTATTATTTTTTTTTATTATTTGTTTATTACTAAAAATCTGTGGGTAATGATTGTCTCGTGAAATAAAATAATAAAGAAAAATGTATGTTTCTTGATGTGTAAAATGAAAATTAATTCAGACAGATGAAATTTATTAAAATGAAACACAATAATAATGATAGTGTGCTGTCAAATCACAGAAAGTTGATATGCAAATAATAGTTGAAGTTCGTTGATAAAAGTGAAAGAAAAGGAATCAAGGAATTGCGAATATATCTTCTATTTCACTTCAAAATGCAACAAGAAGGCACCCCAAAATTCTTAAAATTTCATCAAGGAAGAGTGAGGGGTGTCGCTTTCAGTCCGCGGGTATTATGTCATTATATTATTTATTAAATAATTCATTTTATAGTTGAAAATAAAGTTGGTTAAATGATAATAATGAAATACTTGAAAGTAATTCAAATTTTTAGAAAAATAAACGCATTAAATGAGATATTTTTAGGTTATCTGTAAGTTTCACAACATTGTGTCAATGTTAGGAACTTGTATATCTCGTAAAAAAAAAATTTTTTTCTTTATTACAGGATCGGTATTTATTTTGCTCGGGAGGTTACGATGGCAAAGTTAATCTCTACTCTGCTTTGCGAATGGAATTACTTACATGTTATCAGATAACTGCAATGACCCAAACACAAAATGTCAATGCTGTAAGATTCACTTCAGACGGTTCTAGGGTGCGTGTCTTATTTCTTTTATTTTATTGTATTTTAGTAAAAAAATATATCTATTTCTTTATATATTAAAATTTACAATAAACTGAGAACCACTAATGATTAAGTTAATTTTTATTAAATAACAGTAATATTTTTTTCAAGGAACTTTTTAGTTTAAAATTGACAGAAATAACACTTTCTTAAACTTTTATTGTAAAAACATTATTAAAATAAAATTGTTGTGTCAAATAATTTTTAATTACATTAATAAATAGTAGAGTTACAATAAATAAATAATATTAGTATTATAAATAAACCGCTGCCAAGTTGAATTATGAATTTCATGTGTTTATTTCATGAATACTTTGCTTCCCAATGGTCATTTTTTGTGACCAACTTTTAGTAAGTTATTTAGTATATTAACCCCTTCGGTGTGAGAGCAAAATATCATATAATGGTCCCAAAATGTTCATTTGATATGGGTCGACGAATTTTTATGAAACTTTTTCTTGTTATATTAACAATTATTAATTAATATTTACTTAATTATTGCAATAATTAATGTCAGTGATACCTATAGTGTCCTCAAAATTGTATGGGAGTATTTATTTACAATGAATACAATAAATTTTATTTATTTTGTGATAATATGTTCACGACCCAACGTTGGGTCGCTCACAGTGAAGGGGTTAATAAAAGGTTAATAATAATAGGTTTAATAATAGATCAATTGATTCGTTTTTGAATATTCTCCAAGTAGTTTATAATAATTTTAAAGTTACATAAAGATATTTAATAAAAAGTAACATTTTTCAAAATCTTTCAATTTTAAACTGTTAATACATAACTACAAAATTAAAGATAAATATTTATAAAAACTTTAAAATTTTTAGCTTGAAGCCAGTATATTTTAACTAAAAGATGTTTTTAAATATTTACAGGTGTTAATACATTTTTTTAAGTTAAGGTCAAAAAAAAGTTTTTTTCTAATTTTAAAAAATTCAATAAATTTTGATAGAATAACATCAAAATGTTTGCTAACAACCCGAAAAATGCGTCTTGATAAACTCTACAAAGGCTAAAGAACAATATATATCTGTAGGTGTCAATATATTTATTTAAATTTATGGGAAAAAAGCAATTTTAAAAAAAAGTTTAAATGCAAAAAAAATAGTTAATCTTTATTAATATAGCTCAAAGTACTTTCATTATTGATCCGCCTGTGAGATGTACAATTTAAAGAAACATTTGAGGCATTTCATATGAGAATACGGGGTCATGTCTCGGATTTTTCTCAAAATTCGGTAAATTGTAATGATAGTGGTGATAAATGTACAAATTTTGAATTTAAATGCGGATTTCCATAAGCATTGGAATGGTATTTTAAAAATTATTCTAATTTTATTTATTTGTAAAATATTTCATTTTTATTAACTTTTGTTAGTTAATTAATTAATATTTCTAAAAAAATAATGCCATCTCAAAAATTTAACCATCGATTTATTATGACTTAAACAATAGTCCTGATTTTTTTCGCGCTTCAAAATGAGGGAGAACATGTTTAAAAGTTATAAAAAAATTTTATTTTTTAAACAAATTGTTTAAAAATGAATATTTTTTTATAAAAATAAGTTTTTTCTAAAAGTTTAAGGTCTTTTTGGGTAAAAAACTTTCGCATCATTTTTCTCTATTTTTAGTAGGGAAAAAATTTTAAGTAAAGCAAAAAAATATTGCTTTAATTTGTTATTGTAAATATCTCGAAAAATATTTAAAATTTCAAATTCAAAATTTGTACACTTAGCACCACTATCACTACAATTTACCGAATTTTGAGAAAAATCCGAGACATGACCAAATTTTCATTTAAAATAATTTCTATTTAACAGAATTCATATTCTGCAAAATTTCTATAATACAGAATTTTTAATTAAATAATTGTTCTTTAATATAATTTTCATTTAGTAGAATATTGATTTAACTAAATTTACATATAAAAGAATTTTTATTAAATAGAACTTTTATTTAACTAAATTTCTATTTCATAGAATTCCAATTTAACCAAATCTCCATTTAACAAAATTCTTATCTGACAGAATTTTGACTTAGTCGAATATCCGACAGAAAAGTTTTGGCGGGAATTTTAAAATTAATCAATCACAATTTTCTTAATTATTTTTGTTTGTTTTATTTTAAAATTGGCGCCAAAACTTTTCTGTCGGATATTTTTAGGCCATTTGCGATTTCGGTCAAATAGAAATTCGATGATTCGATAATAATTCTCTCAAATGACAATTCGTACAAATGAAAGTTCCTACAAATAAAGTTTCAATGAAATTGAAATTTTGCTAATAATTCGTATAAATAAAAAATTTCTATATTGAAGATTTGGTTAAATAAAAGTTTTGTCAAATAGAAGTTATGTTACTTAAGAATTCAGTTAAGTAAATATCTTCCTGTATGGAAATTAAATTTTAAAAAATTAAGTTGATTTAAAACTTTGTATTATGATAACTATGTTTAATAAAAATTTTGTTAAATAGAAATTATATTAAATAAAAATTTGGTGAACCACAGAATCTGTTGTATAAATGTACATTTTATTTAACAAATTTTAAATGAGATATCTCACATAAACTGAAATATATTGAAATTTATATAAGAAAAATTTTTAAAAACACCTACTTTTAATTTTTCGCGTGTGATTTTTTGAGTTCATGATGCTTTTATAAGTTAAGGGTAGTTCTTAGATTTTTTAGAGATATTTCAGAGCACTAAATTTGCTTTAATTATTATTTTTCACCCAAATTCAGAAGTTATAAAATCATTAAAAATTAAGGAAACGTAAAAAAAAAGATTTGAATTAATTTAAAATTGATATACAATTTTAGGTTTTGGCTGCAACTAATGCAAGAAGATTAGTCGTCGTGGATGTTGAAAGAGGAGAACAACTTTTAGCTTATGACAATTGTGCGTTTAATGGAAACGGAAATCGAACTGGATTAGCTACTGATCCTGCGGGTCCAAATTTAGCAATTTCTGTTGCTGTCAATGGAAAAGGTCTCACTTTAGTTGATCTTCGAATGCCACTGCCCTTAGATTTTGTTTATGACGTGAGTTATTTTTGTAATAAAGCACAAAAACTTTAAAATATTTATAAATCATATGGGGTATTCTATGTGAGTTTTATTCGAAAAATTATTTTTAATTGAAACAAGTTTTTCTGTAATATTTTTGTATTTAGTGGAACATTTCTTAGCCTACTTCCAATTACTTAACCGTACCCCTACTTTTATAGCTACGGCTTTGTTAAATACCTTTCGATAATTTTTTAAAAAAGAACATTAATAATAATAAAAAATATATCTTTGCATAAATTTTGTAATAATTTTATACTTTTTTTTCTAAAATAAATTCTACCAAATTTTGATTTTAAAAAATTTATACACTGAAAAAATAATAGTATTGAATCAAGAAAATTTGGCTTGCTTCAAGTAAATCGTGGGATTGAATAAAGACACGTAATTTATGGGATTGGTTCAAGAAAACGATTGTCTTACTGTAGTATATTTGGGAATTCGAGTAAGAGATTAATCAACTTGTAAGAAACTTAAAATTATTAATTGAAGAAAATGGTTTTCTTGTTTTGAGAATGTATTTAGTCAAATCAATTGTTGTACTTGATTCATTAAAATCTTTCTAATATTGGTTCAAGTAATTCGAGATTTTAATCAAAATATTATTTATATTGTAAGGAGAACATATGTTCTAGACTCCAGAAAACATGGAATTCAAACAAAAAAATGATCAACTTATGAAAAATGTATAAATATTGAAGATAATATTTTTTCCGAGTTTTGATTTATTCAGACAGATTAAAAAGAATTACGGATTGGGATAAAATAAAAAACAAAAAAATTTTTATGCTAAAAATTTAACTTTGTTTACGAGAAAAACGTATTTCTTGCATTAAAACAAATCTTTTGGCCTATAATAAGTACATATTTTACCCTGACCTATGTTTAAAATTAGTGTTTTTAATTTTTTGTAAAAGTAAATTTAGTATTTTTTTCCAATAATTTTTTTATTATAGATTTTAATCAAGTTCTTTGCAAAAATACATTCTAAGCTTCAAAACAAATCAATTCATTCAAATATTTTACATATTTTATTTTAATTTATAGATTTAATCGATATTTTTAAGTAAAGCAAAATTCAAATTTTATTTTTTTTCAGAGTTTTGTTTAAATTTTTTTATTAGGTTTATGATAAACATTGAAATAGAGCTAAGAACAATTAAATAAATATTTAATTTTTTGAAAAAAGTTTTTTTAGGGTTCCGTACCCGAAGGGAAAACCCTATTAATGAGACTAGTGAAGCAATGCATGAACCCTCCCCCCCCCTTAGCGGCCACACGAATCTATCTAGAGGGCTGAAATTTGGTACACATATGTATTTTGGCGTGTAGATTACAGGAAAAATATAGCGAACATGATTCAGATCAATTTACATAGCGTTGTCAAGGAAAAGTACAAAATTTTGAAAAAAAGCGATTAATCCTCCTAGCTCACACACTACTTTATTAAAACAGTTTATATTTGGCATACGTGCGTATTTTTGTGTGCAGATTACAGGAAAAATATAGCGAGCACGATTGGAGTTGATGATCATATTGTTTTTAAGGAAAACTCATATTTTTAGAAAAAATCATGGATTTTTCGAATAAAACAAGGTATTTACCTAATTCATGACCATTTAGCTTCCTCATCATGATACACTTATATTCAAGATAAAAAGAAGGATTACAACTAAACTAGCGATCAATTTTTTTTACAAATATTCGTTTTCATGCCAAGAATACGGTTTTGACAAAATTTATTAAAAATTTCCATGAAAAAAAAGTTATTTAAAAAAAACGAAAAAATTTTTTTTTTTCAAAAATTAAAAAATGATATAATTTATAGATTTTAAGTAAAAGATAGACTTTAAGTAGATTAATCAATTTGTTTTAACGCGAGAAATCAGTTTTTTGGACAAAAAAATTATTTTTACAGTGTAAAAAAATTTTTGGTTAAAAAACCTATTTTTGAATTTTTGAAAAAGTGACATAAAAAAAATTATGTGGATATTTTTGGAAATCCTTGTGTCTGATTTTAGGTTTTGATGACTGTAATAAGTCTATAAAATTTCAGGACAATCCATCGAAGTGTATTAGAGATAATTTGTACACAAGATTTTGTGACATATACACACATACATCCGGACATTTGTTTAAATCTTCAAATATAATTATGCATTCTAGATAAAAATAAACCCATATAACCCATTTTTAAAAAAACGAAAATCGTCACGAATACAAAGCTTCCTCGTGAGGAGAGGAAACAAAAAGAAGAAAATTTTATCTCAAGGGATTTAAATTTATACATTTGCACGTATTTTTACGTGTAGATTACAAATAATATAGCGAGAACGATTGGAGTTGATTATCATAGCGTTTTCAAGGAAAAACTGATAATTTTCGCTCTATGTGTCGATCTATGTATTTTCATGCTCACATGACAGGAGAAATTAAGCAAAATTGGAATTTTTCCATCGGCCTTCACACTTTAAACCCCTGAAATTTTAGGTTTAGGGGTACGGAACCCTCGGTTTTAATGCGAGTGTAACTAGCACTTGTCCGATTTTTTTATATTAATGAAAATAAAGTGTTCTTCTACAAAGAAGGAACCTTCTCTTGTTGTAATTATGTGGATTTCAAAACGTATTATTTTAATCAGAAATAATTTTTCAATGAAAATTTCATGTGGAATGCTTTATATAAAATCGATTAGAAATAAAATGAGTAATTATTTGGGGCAGCTACATGGATCTGTTATAAGAGACATTTGCTTCTTACCTTCATCATGGCCGTGGCAAAATTCTATTCTAACCGGAGGATCTGATGGCACTTGCAAAGTTTCATCACCTGATGGCAGAGTGTTTCATACTTTTCAAACTGGACATACAGTTAATACAGTTTGTGTAACTCCTGAGCCATTTTGTAGAAGTGCAGAGGATGGATTTTACAGTAAGATATAAATATATAATAGACAGTTGATAAACTTTATTTATTTAATTTTTCAACATGTACAATAGAAAATTGACTTTAGTTATATATATTTACTATTTTTATGGGCAAATTCACGGAAATACAATAGCAATTAAAAAATTTCCCTAAGAAAAGTTGCTCCTCTTTGAAAGATGTAAAAAAGTGTCTTCTGTTTTTTTTTCTATCTCGCTTCGTTTTCGATATATTTCGTGAAATTTAATTTGAATGATAACATTGTATTTTTGCTACGAATAATCAAATAACTATCAAAAAAGTGTTCGTAGCAAAAATATAATGTTATCATTCAAATCAAATTTCATGAAATATGTCGAAAACAAAGCGAGATAGAGAAAAATGTTAAGAAAAGAAACACTTTTTTACATCTTTCAAAGAGGAACAACTTTTGACAGGAAAATTTTTTTATTGCTATTGTATTTCTTTAAAAAAATTTTTAAAAAGTTTCCTCTTTTAACAGTATCTGATACAAGTTAAATTCCTATGGAAAATATTCTTTACTATGAAGACAATTACCAAAAAAAATTGCAACAAAAAAAAAGATGGGGTTTTTGAGTACATAATTTAAATTCCAAGATTTTCAGTAGAATGGTCGCCATTTTGTTATTTTAAAAAAATTTTCTACCGGATTCTTAAAAACGACAAGATGAGTAAATGCTCTTCCTGGTTAAAAAAGAAAAAATTAAATATCCGGATTAAACAAAAAGTTATGACCTATAATTTTGGCATTGAATTTTGAGATTGTATGTTCTTTTTAAGCTTTAAATTTTTAGGTTGTGTCTTCAAATATTGAATTTGAAGGTTATGTTCGAAAGAAAAAAGTAATCCCTATTGAAAAAAAACACGTATAATTATACGTATAATTATACGTATAATTAATTATACGTATAATAATACGTATAATAATACGTATAATAATAAGTATAATTATACGTATTATTATACGTATAATTATAATTCTATTAAAAATAGAATAATAGAATAGAATAGATTAATTAGTAGCAAAATTGCGCTGAAAATTTTTAGAAATTTTAAAATGCAAATTAAATTTCACGAAAAAAAATAACGTCGAATGTCAATTCAAGCAGTCACCCATCCAAGTACTAACCGCGTCCAACGTTGCTTAACTTCTGTGATCTGATGAGAACTTGTTCCTTCGCCTTGGTGTTTCCGCTGTCTTGTCTTGATTAATAACTTTGTCGTATAAGTATCACTAAAAGTGAGGTTAGCCCTATTGAAAATCCCCACATGGGAAACCACATGGGATCCTATGTCAAAAACTATGTAAAACCCCATTCCCCATATGGGAAACCACATGGGATCCCATATAAAAACTCATGGGAAATTGGGACAGGAATTGGCATAGGAAAATATCAAAACGAGGTTCCTCCATGTCATTTCCTATGTCAAATCCCATGACAAATATCATGTTAAATACCATGTTAAATACTAATTGAGATCCTTTATCACTTTTTTGACAAATTTTCCCATGTCAAACCCCATGTCATTTCCCAAGTAAAAACCTTTATCATTTTTTTGAAAAATTTTCCAATGTCATTTCCCATGTGAAATCTTTTATCATTTTTTTGAAAAATTTTCCCATGTCAAATCCTCTTTCGCCTTATCGAAAATACCCACATAGGAAAGCATATGGGAATCCATATGGGAAATGGAATACGATTTCATGTGCATTCTTCCAAATGATAAAACAAATAGATTTAAGCATAGGAAATCATATAAGATTTCATATAGATTCTGAAATTTCAACCTAAGATTTCACATGGATTTACATATAGGAAACATATAGGATTTTATTCGGGAATGTTTTAGTTGGCTGCTTTATGCAGGCGGCAGATTACAAAAAAATTAATTATTTGATTAAATATCAAATAATAATACTTCAACTCATCTGAAAATAAAAAAAAGTTTACTTTACTTCTGCCTTAGACTCTCAGCTTTTATAGTATTTCAGACTGATCTCAACTGTGAGAGAAAATATTTTCACCATCTGGTGGTGAAACAATGAAACTATAATGACGATCAACATCTATATTGAAATTTCCTATGTCATTTCCCATGTCATTTCCCATGTGAAATCCTCTTTCATTTATTCGAAAAATTTTCCCATGTCATTTCCCATGTGAATTCCTTTATCATTTTTTTTCAAAAAAATTTCCCATGTCATTTCCCATGTGAAATCTTTTATTATTTTTTGGAAAAATTTTCCCATATCAATTCCCACGTCAAACCTCATGTCATTTGCCATGTGAAATCCTTTATCGTATTCCATTTCCTCTGTGGATTCCCATATGCTTTCCCATGTGGGTATTTTCGATAGGGCGAAAGAGGATTTGTCATTGGAAAATTTGTCAAAAAAATGATGAAGGATTTCACATGGGAAATGACATGGGAAAATTTTTCGAAAAAATGATAAGATTTCACATGGGATATGACATGGGAAAATTTTTCGAATAAATGAAAGAGGATTTCACATGGGAAATGACATAGGAAATTTCAATATAGATGTTGATCGTCATTATAGTTTCATTGTTTCACCACCAGATGGTGAAAATATTTTCTCTCACAGTTGAGATCAGTCTGGAATACTATAAAAGCTGAGAGTCTAAGGCAGAAGTAAAGTAAACTTTTTTTTATTTTCAGATGAATTGAAGTATTATTATTTTATATTTAATCAAATAATTAATTTTTTTGTAATCTGCCGCCTGCATAAAGCAGCCAACTAAAAAATTCCCGAATAAAATCCTATATCGTTTCCTATATGTAAATCCATGTGAAATCTTAGGTTGAAATTTCAGAATCTATATGAAATCTTATATGATTTCCTATGCTTAAATCTATTTGTTTTATCATTTGGAAGAATGCACATGAAATCGTATTCCATTTCCCATATGGATTCCCATATGCTTTCCTATGTGGGTATTTTCGATAAGGCGAAAGAGGATTTGACATGGGAAAATTTTTCAAAAAAATGATAAAAGATTTCACATGGGAAATGACATTGGAAAATTTTTCAAAAAAATGATAAAGGTTTTTACTTGGGAAATGACATGGGGTTTGACATGGGAAAATTTGTCAAAAAAGTGATAAAGGATCTCAATTAGTATTTAACATGATATTTGACATGGGATTTGACATAGGAAATGACATGGAGGAACCTCGTTTTGATATTTTCCTATGCCAATTCCTGTCCCAATTTCCCATGAGTTTTTATATGGGATCTCATGTGGTTTCCCATATGGGGAATGGGGTTTTACATGGTTTTTGACATAGGATCCCATGTGGTTTCCCATGTGGGGATTTTCAATAGGGAGGTGCGATACAATACTTATACGACAAAGTTATTAATCAAGACAAGACAGCGGAAACACCAAGGCGAAGGAACAAGTTCTCATCCGATCACGGAAGTTAAGCAACGTTGGACGCGGTTAGTACTTGGATGGGTGACTGCTTGAATTGACATTCGACGATATTTTTTTTCGTGAAATTTAATTTGCATTTTAAAATTTCTAAAAATTTTCAGCGCAATTTTGCTACTAATTAATCTATTCTATTCTATTATTCTAGTTTTAATAGAATTATAATTATACGTATAATAATACGTATAATTATACGTATAATAATACGTATAATTATACGTATAATAATACGTATAATTATACGTATAATAATACGTATAATTATACGTATAATAATACGTATTATTATACGTACAATTATACGTGTTTTTTTTCAATAGGGATAAGACATTTTTTCTAATTCTAGAAGAAAAAAAAATGTTTTATTAGAAAAAAAATGTTTTTTAAAGGCTTAATCATGAGTGGCGGTGATCTGGTTTCGGCTTATGTTCCCGACACTGGAATTCAAGAGCATCTCAAGGAACAAAAAGATTCGCCAATTTGGAAAATGAGATATACTTCAAACGGTAGTACGCTTTTTTCTGTCTGTGATGGGGGAATTTTGAGACGCTACAGAAGATATCCTGATCATCATGAATATCTGGGAGAGGTTTATCGTCACAAAGGAGATATTCAAGACGTAGATGTTTCTCCATACGATGAATGTATCCTTTTCTTAATTTTTAAACTTATTACAATAATTTATGATAAATTCTGTTTAATTACAATTTTAGCAATTGGTCTCCATTACAAACACATATCTATTTAAAAAGGAAATATTTAGTTGATATTTATGCAAAAAAATATTTTTATTATTGGCCAACAAAACTATTATATTTATTTATGGATATATTAGGGATTATATTTATTTTTGCTTTTGGAGAAAACTTTGGTTTTTTTAATATTAATTTTTGCAACATAATAATAACTCATTCTTATTGTTTTCACAAAAGACACGTTAATAAAATAATTATTTTTTAATACTTGTTTGAATTTATTCGTTGTGGAAATAAAAATTTAATTTAGAAAACTTTTACATTTTTTCAAATCTGGAAATAACCATGAAATAATCACACCCTGAATGCTGATAATAATAAGGTCGTTAACAATTTTAATATTTCCAGGAAGTTAGATCAGTAAAGTTAAAATTTTAGAAAAACAAATATTGTGATGAATTATGCTCGAGTTTTGTTCTTTTTGCACAAATTCATTTTTTTAAATACTCAAAATTCAGGACATAAAAATTTGAAAACTATTTTAAAACGTCTAAAATTAAATTTTTCAAAAAAACAAATTTTGTGCCAAATTGAGATCGACTTGTGCTCTTTTGTGCACCAATTTATTTTTTGAAAAACTAAAAAAACATTTTTAAATATAAGAAGTTAAAAATTCTAAAAAACAAATCTTGTGAAAATTGAGTTCAACTTGTACTCTTTTGTGCACTGATTTATTTTTTGAAAATCTCATAATTTTTTTCAAGAATGCATACTTTTCAAAATAAATCTAATTTTTTGACATAGGAAATATGTTTTAGTAAAAGAAAAACCAAAGTTGTGTTGAATTTTGCACGTCTAGCAGAATTAAAAAGTCTTAATAAACTTTTTTCTAAATTGAATATTTTTCGCTATCTAGTACAAGTGTTTCTTTATCATTGAAATAAATTGGTGTTTTTTGTCAAAATGATATTTTTTCAGCAATTTTTATTCAAAAAAAATTTTTTTTTTTTTAATTTTTTATATTATAATTGAGTAAACGAACACAATTGGGCTCACTGTTAGAGAAAAATTGATACTGTGGTCCGAAAATGTCTAAAAAATTCTGATCGACAAATTTTTATGAAACTGAGTATTTTTTAATTTAAAGGTTAAATTCGAATGAATTTTTGCACAAAAGAGCATAAATGATTATAGATTTTATATTTTTACCGTTTTTATAAGATAATTATTACGGAAAAAAATTGACATTAAATTTTTGAACGTTTTTTCCTTAAGAAAGAAAAAGATATTGTTACTGCCTCAAAAGATCAAAGTGTTGGAGTTCTTTTGCTGGGTCCTCCAAATCACGGGTTCACTGAGTACACAGAATTAACATGATACCGGTTTCTAAATGAAATCCGTCCTTGTCATTTTTTATGTAGAGCTCACACTGTGAAAAACTGTCAAAAAGAAAACTGAGAACCTGAAAAATTACAATTTATATAATGTGAAACAGAAACAGTGATTAAGTCCAGTGTATCCTGTGAAAACTGTATACACAGCCTTGGGAAAAAAATCGGTTGTTCAAGAATTTTTGATGTGTGTGTGTTTGTGGCTTATTTATATTTTGTACAGAATCCAAAAAAATTGTTGTTACTGATGTTATAATTTTACGAAAAAATGTTAAGGTAAATGATGTACAATGTACAATATTTATGATATATAGAGAAACGATTGTTTCGATAAGATCAGCTCATTTCCATTGATAAAAAAAACCTCAACATATGTTTAGAACTCTCTCAAGTAATTTAATTATTAAATGTTCGTGTAAATTTTGTGCGTTCTCCAACGATTCGTTGAATTAATACTGCAATCTTTCTCAAATAAAGTTTATAAGGTAATTTTGTTACCTTTATTTGCTCATTATTTTAATCGCTGTAGTGAGTTTTTACTTCAGTCCAAATGTTTTAAATAAGTTACATTGTGAATTGAAAATTTAAATTTATTTAAAGTTTTATGAAAGATGAATGAAAGTTTGCGAAAAGCCGTGGTTATGGAAATAAATATAGTTTTTTTCCAATTTAACGCGGATTTGCGTTTTTAAGCTCTACAAGCCTGTCAGTCCATTCTCGCTGGAAATTTTGAAGTTTTCGGCGATAAACGCTTTTATTCACATGTTCATTATCTTTCTGGCAGTTTGTGTTTTGTTTAATAATGAAAAATAGACTAACTTCATCTCAAAGACTATTTAATGTATTAAAAATATTTCCTATGTTATTCTTTTTAATATTTTTTAAAGTGTAACAGTTTCTGATAAAAATTTCATTCAAAGAACTGAAATAAACTAAAAAGGACGCGCGAATATTGCCCACACTAAATTCCTTAGAGTTTTTGCAGTGTCGAAATTAGTAAGCACGAATTTTTGTTACCGAATTTTATAGAGTAGAAATTATATTGAATTTTCATATTTACAAATTTTTATTTAATGGAACTTTTATAAACCAGATTATATGATTTGTTGACTGAATTTTCATTCAATATAGTTTCTATTTAACAGAATTTTCATTCTGCAAGATTTCCACAATATAGAATTTTTAATTAAATAATTGTTCTTTAATCTAATTTTCATTTAGCAGAATATTGATTTAACAGAATTTTGATTTAATAAAACTTTATTTAACTCAATTTTAACATAAATGATAATTCCTATAAATGAAATTTTCGACAAATAAAGTTTTGATGAAATGGAAATTCTGATGTTTAAAATTTCGACTAAGTAGAAATTCCATTATGAGGAAATACTGATTATGTTTAATTAAAACATGGTATTATGAAACTTTTTCAAAATAAAAATTCTGTTAAATAGAAATTATTCGTTTCAAAACCATGGAAATTCCAACAAATTTAGTGTGGAAAATATTCATCCGTCCCAACTAAAAAAAAAAGAAAAAAGTTTGCGTATTTAAATATTTTTGAAATTACACGGAATTTTTTCCAGAAACAGATAAACTACTTTTAAAATAAAAATAGTTGATAATTAAGTTTCAAAATTCAGAAAAAAGTTTTTTAAATGCGAAATTTTTCGTATCAAAATACCACCAAAGACGACGATCAATTTTTAAATGCTTTATTTTACTGTTAAATTACAATTATAGGAAATTTAATCGTGAAAAATTTTGTGTATTATCGGGATAATAATAAAAAAAGAACAAACATAAAATAATTTCTTTCTATTAGACACTGTTTTAATAAAAAGGAGTTTTAGGCATATGGCTTTAAATGTTCCGCTTCTGGTAATTATATGCAATAGATACAGGTTTCCACGGCTTCTTTGTTTTTACTTAAATGAGGCCTGTGACCAATGACACTGCTCACACCTGGAAAATAAAAACAACTTTGAGTTTGGTTTCTTCATTGAAAGCAAATTCTATAATATTTTAATACAAAAAGAAAATAAATTTGCATAACAAAAGAGATATTATTAAAAACGGTAAATTAAAGCAATCAAACATTTAAAAGTAATTAAAAATTAAAAAGAGTAAAAGAAATATTAAATGACTTTGTCTTCTTCGTAAACGAAGTTAAGGATTTAAAAAAACAAATTTGAAATTTTTTAGATAATTTTAAAGTAAAAAACAGCTATTTTTTTCTTCTCGATTTATCATGTCCAAGAAAAAATCGGTTGTTTCAGTAAAATATTTATGACTACCCAGCTAAAAATTCCTATACAGGATCCTTAAAGGATCCCTAGAGCTTCCTACATAGGATCCTTAAAGGTTCCTTGAGGGATCCTATTAAGAATCCTACGCAGTTTCCCACTAGGATCCGTTGCAGGATTTTGGAACAGGGATCCTGTGCAGGAACCTGTACAGGAACATTAGTTACCTAAGGTTCCTTTGCAGCTTCCTTTGTCTGATAGTTTAAAACAAATTTTTAAATAAAAATTCCTGCACATGAACCTCCACATGAACCCATGAAGGAACCTTTGTTCCTGAAAGTTAACTTTACTTGTTGCGCAGTAAGTTTCTATCGCTCTAACATCTGCGCAATGAATTTTTTTCAATTAAGTGCAACAATATATATTCATCACAAAATTTAAAAAAATTTAATTGTATTTAAAGAAATACACCTTGGATCCTATACGTGGGATCCTCTTATGGTTCCTACAAATGTTCCTTAACATGAAAAGAAAGTGAAAATTTTCCTGTACAGGATCATTCAAGTGTTTCTGTGTAGGAACCTTTACATGAAATTATTTTTAATAAATTTTCTTGTACGGGAATCTGCAGAGGAACCTTAGTAACTAATGTTCCTGCACAGGATTCTGTACAGGATCCCTGTTCCAATATCCTGCAACGAATCCTAGTGGGATCCCGCGTAGGATTCTTAACAGGATCCCTCAGGGAACTTTTAAGGATCCTGTACAGGAATATTTAGTTGGGTACACGGAAAAACTTTGTTCAAGAATCATTCCCAAATTTGTTCAGGAACTAAGGATATGAGAAAAATTCTGAAAAATTTACAGAAAAATACAAAAATCATTCAAGAAAATACTTGTATTTTTATTATGACATTGGAAGACTTTTTGTTAATGCCGCGATCGGAATATCTCAGTCACTGGGTGTTGAAAGTTTCTTGAACTGTTTTAGAAGACACAGTACAATAACCAAGCACTAGGCAGGGATTGGTTGCGTCAAATACGTTTCGAATGCATAATACCATAAGCTGCTAAGGTAGCTGAGAGATGTAAAGCGCAGTTTTTGGACTCTCGAGGACGTGGGATCGAGTCCTCCCAGAGTAAATTTTTTTTCTCGCAAACGTAAAAATTTATTCTAAAACAAGTTTAAGACTTTCTGTAGTGAGTTTAGGAAGTTGTCTTGAATTTCTCTACAATTCTTATAGAAATACTGCTTAGAATTTTTCAAAGAAAATATAAATAAGATTTCTTAAATTATTCTCATATCCTCAGTTCCTGAACAAATTTAGGAATGATTCTTGCACAAAGTTTTTCTGTATAGTATGGTAATTAATAGTATATTTTGATGAAAGAATTACCAAATAGTCTTTAAATTTTATTATTTTATTTAATATCGTGCAAAAGTTTCTAAATAAATAATTTCACTACTCACCTTTTCTTAAAAAGTTTCGGAAAAATCCGTATCTTTGTAATTATTTATTTATTTTTTTTATTGCTGTATAAGCCCCCTTAACCTTTTGAGGGGCAGTGGGTCACATATGTCTCACCTCTAATTTCCCTGTATTTTGCGAATTTATGTTATATTTGGATACATTTTGGATACATACACGATACATTTTTTAAAATTATTTATTTAGTTATTTCTAAATGTTGAGTTTTTTTAACCATATTTTAGAGCGTGTAACAGTAATATATAATTTTTTTCAAAAAGGTCGTTACAGAATCTGAAAGTACTGTTCCTACCCTTTAAAATGCATTTTGAAACTTAACAAAATCTTTATTAGGCTCTGAGTTATTGTCATTTGAAATATATCGAACATTTGAATACACGAATATTGAAACATTCACCACTCAGAAAATTCAAACAATAACTCACAATCGGAGGTAAATAAAGATTTTTTAAGTTTCAAAATGCATTTGAAAGGGTAAGAATAGTACTTTCAGATGCTGTAACGTCCTTTTTGAAATTATTTATAATTATGTTAATGTTACACGACTTCAAAAATGGTCAAAAAACGACTTTTTTTTACTTTTAGGTTAGAATATCTCGAAAACCTGACGTGGTGGGTAAATTCTGATGTCAAATTCGGATTCAGCAAGTCAAAATACTTTGAAAAAGTATAGTCTTGTTCTTGGTTCTGAAGTAAGCCAAAATTTTGTCGGACAAATTATCAAAGTTCAAAATGACGGATCCAATATAGCGAACAAAAAAAATTAAACTAGGTGTTCATTTGAATACCCGGATCAAATAACTCGACCGACGCTCGGACGCACGCTCTAATGGTAGTCGGGTAGCAGTGAGCCGCCCACAGGCTGTCACTGTTACTTGACTGGTAATAGAGCGTTCGTCCGAGCGTCGGTCGAGTTATTTGATCCGGGTATTCATTTCATGACCATGTAGCTTTCTCATCATGATACACTCATACATATTCAAGATTAAAAGAAGGATTACAACTAAAATAGCCATCAATTTTATAAATATTAGTAAAATGTAAACTTTGTATATATCAATCGATTCGTTTTTATGCCAGAAATACAATTTTGACAAGAATTAATTAAAAATTTTATATTAGAAAAAAGTATTTCAAAAAATACAAAAAACGATTATTTTCAAAAATTCAAAAAATGATTTAATCTATAGATTTCAGTAAAATATGAACTTTATATAGGCTAATCGACTCGTTTTAATTCAAGAAATAAGTTTTTTTTACTAAACAAAATTAAATTTACAAAGAAAAAAATATTTTGAAAAATTTTTTTGCTTCCTCGTGGAGGAAGCTTTGTAATTAAATTTTTTTAATAAAAAAATGTGTAGAATTAAGCGATTTAAATTTGAATGTGTAGAATTTTACAATAATAATACCCATTTTTTTAAATAAATTTGTGTAGAATTTAACGATGTTCAATTTAACTGTGTAGAATTTAACAAAATTAATTTTTTTTAATATATAAACGTGTGTAGAGTTTAATAGTGCAGAATTTAACAAAATTTATAAATTTATTTTGTAGAATTTTACAGTAAATAATTTTCATTTTTTAATATAAATTTGTGCAGAATTTAACGGTGTTCAATTTAAATGTGTAGAATTTAACAAAATTAATTTTTTTGTATTATATAAACGTGTGTAGAATTTAACAGTGCAGAATTTAACACAACTAATAAACTGCGAAGAAATTTATTTTGTAGAATTTAACTGTATAGAATTTTATAGTAATAATTATCATTTTTTTAAACAAATTTGTGCAGAGTATAACGGTGTTCAATTTAACTGTGTAGAATTTAACAAAATTATTTTTATTTTTAAATATAAATGTGTGTCGACTTTAACGGTGTACAATTTAACTGTGTAGAATTTAACGAATTAATTTTTATTTTTTAATATGAATGTGTGTAGAGTTTGTCGGTGTGAAATTTAACTCTGTAGAATTTAACAAATAAATTGTACAAAATTAAACTTGTGTAGAATACAACATTGTAGAATTTAACGTGTAGAATTTATACGGTGTAGAATCTAAATGTGTAGAACTTAAACCGCCCCAAGACGAATCGATCGATATATATAAAGTATACATTTGAGGTAAATTTAAAGAATTAATGAAAGTTAAAAAATCAAAAATTCACATTTTGTCAATAAAATTTTGCTTTCTCCACGAGGAAGCAAATTTTATTGCTGATCGTAAAGAGGAAGCAAAATGTTCATGAAATGAACATCTGAATTTACAACTTGTTTTTTAAATTTTGAAAAAATTGTAAAAAATAAAATGTTGTGAATATATTCGAATACCCGGATCAAATAACTCGACCGACGCTCGGACGCACGCTCTAATGGTAGTCGGGTAGTAGTGAGCCGCCCACAGGCTGTCACTGCTACTTGACTGGTAATAGAGCGTTCGTCCGAGCGTCGGTCGACTTATTTGATCCGGGTATTCATTCGAAAATCCTTGTGTCAGATTTTAGGTATTAATGATTACAATAAGCATACAAAATTTCAGGACAATCCGTTAAAACGTTTCTAAGATAATTTATACACAATATTTTGTGACATACCCACACACATACATCTGGACATTTGCTCAGGACTTCATATATATTATTTCTAGAAGAAAATGAGTCCATATAACCCAATTTTAAAAAATCGAAAAACGTCACGAATGCAAAGCTTCCTCATGAGGAAGCAAAATCAATTGGATTCCCTTGAAACTCGTTACTCAGGGGTTTTCAAGATCGCTGATTATATCTGACATTAGATTTTCAATATTCAAAATGGCCGGTCCAATCCGGCGTTAGAATAATATTTCCCTCAAAGGGTTAAGTAATATTTTAAATTAATTGAAAGTGCGACATTCTCTCAATTATTTATTTATTTACTTATTTAACAACATAACATTATATTTTTAACAAATTATAATAAAATGTTATTATGAATATAATTAATAAAATAAATTGTGGCACGCTCCGAAGTAAGGTATCTAAGAAGCAAAACGAATTATAGGTTACGTGAAGTGATCAAATTGTCAAAAAATTGCTTTTTTCTTGTATTTATTTTTTTCTCTTGAATAAATTTTTTTTATCAATATCATAGTTTCGAAAGCTTTTTTGATGCTCTTTCGATTGGTAGATAGATAGATTTTATTTCTCCATTGTGTACTTGTGTCTAACGATTTCTTGCGATTTTTTCAAAAAGTCTCGCGTATTGGCATAGATTGGGGTTCGGTATGCCCTTTAGAGTTTCAATCAACAATCTCTCTAGTTCTTCTCCAGTTGATTCCCCTCTCCATTTATTAACTTCCTCTACGTATTTTTTATTAATTATTTTTAAAGCCTCTTCATAATCCCAAATATGAATTAAGTTTTCTTTGAATTCGCCACATAATCTACATGAAGTGTCCTTGTATCCCTTATTATCTTTCGATTGGTAATATTTATTTTTGAAAAAAAAAATTTTCAAGCAATAGCTCATCAGATCAAGATTTAAACATTTTTGTCCCATTTTTGCAACTATATATATTTGAAGGAAAAAACCTCAGCTTTCGATTAAAAAAAGTCGTACCTTTCACACCAAAAAATTCAAATTTATTTTTGAGTTTTATTTTTTTTTGTCAAAAAATTTTTTTTTTCAAAAATGCATATTACTAATCGAAAGAGCATGATAAATTCCGAAACTGATTTTAAATAATCAAAGAAAGAAATTAAGATTTTCTTTTTTTGATCACCTTGTATGTTTTTTGGTCTCAAAAGATGCAAGAAAAAAATATAACTTTCCCTGATATCATTAAAATTTGAAGAGGTCAAAATAAAAGGAAGATCTTTCTCTAAAAATAAAATTTTTTTAAATCATTGAAATTCAGAAAAAAGTAAACAAAAACAAAAAAAAGACTAATTTTATGTGAGTTTGGTACAAAGTTTGATGCTTAAATGATAACCCAAAAAAATTAGAAGTTTCCTAATATAAATAAATATATTACAATATTTTACTATTTATTGTTTTATAAAAATAATCGAAAAAATCATTAACAGTTGAATATTATTATTAATTCTGAATGTTGAAAAAATAACGTAAAAAATGCCTTGATATCAAGAACGTAATTATTTGTGTTCATTTAGATAACATTGTCTATTGGAATTTTCAATGAGAATGATAATAATAGTTATTTTCTGAAGCGTTTATAAACCTTTAATGTGCTAAAAAAAGAAGAATATTTTATTTTCAATTATATTATTACAATATTTTTACTACGCACTTAAAACAAGAAACTATATGTCACTGAAAATTTGAGTCCTATTGGTGTGTGAATAGTAAGTAGGGACTTAAAAAGTCTTATTATCACCAACACTTCCAGTTGTAGTTTGCTTCTGTGAGGGAATTGTTGTGATAAAGCCTCGTTTACCTTATAGCTAAAAAAGTTTTTTCATAACGTTCAGTGCCAACAAAATGTTTATTCATATGTAAAAATAACAATTTGCGAATTTTAAAACAATTTTTCCTTCAAACTTCATAGTTTCCATTTATTTCGAAATCCATAATTAATTAATTAATTAATTATTATTATTTACTATTATTATTATTATTATTATTATTTAATTAATTAATTAATAATTTGAATAACACATCATAATTGCTTAAATTATTTCAAGTTTTTGTTTGTTTGTTTATTTATTACAACACTTAAAATTAATAGTTTTGATAAAATATTGTGTTATTATTTATTAACGTCAGTAAAGAATTTAATTGGATAATACATTTAGAAAGAAGATTTATTATAAAAAATACGGAAACAAATTTATTTAATTAGTATAATTATAACACGGATATTCGATAAAGAAAAGTGTCCAGTGTGTGATGAATTCTATTTTTATTCATTTGACAAGTGTGTTAGATAATAAGAATTGTAATATAACTATCGCATTAATTCCATAGGAAATGTGCCATGGAAAATATAGTGATAGAGTGACCTTCTCTTTGATATCTATAAGTCTTGCTAAAGTTTATAATGTTGATTATCAAGTTTCTTTTAACACTATATAGGATTAAATTTGCATTATTCATGGTTAAGTATATTTTGTATATTCTATGACAATAATTAATTTAGTCATTTAATCCATCATATTTTATCATTAAAATTGTATTCCTTTAGTTATTTTTAAAAATGGTCAAAAGTAAAAGTAAAAAAAGTTAATAATTTCTTATTTAATGCAGAAATTTTCATAAGTAAATTTTTAAGTACGGACTTTGTCAGATTTCCCTATTTCTAATAAGATTCTCGTAGGAAAAATTGCTAGAAATTGATAAAGTCTTAGCATTTTTATTGACGTTCAAATTTTAATAAAAATAATAATTGTAATTTTCGATTTCACCGAAACTTTATTTGTCGGGGCGCATGATTATCCCATAAATTCATTAGTTAAAATTTTCATTTTAAAGAATTTTGTTAGACATAAATTTTTTTGAGACGAATTTTTATTTTTCGAATTAACATTTGACAGGATTTCTTTTTGAAGAAATTTTTACTTAACAGAATTCTTATGTATAGAATTTTTATTCTACAGGATTCTTAAAACACCGAATTCTTATTTGTCCGAAATTGCAAATGGCTGAATAAACAATCGACAGAAAGATTTCGTCACGATTTTTAAATTCTACCAATCACGATTTTCTTGATGACTTTTGATTGGTGGAATTTAAAAATCGCGACGAAATCTTTTAGTCGATTGTTTATTCGGCCATTTGCAATTTCGGACAAATAAAAATTCTATACATAGAATTCTGTTAAGTAAAAATTTGTTTAAAAAAAAATTCTGTCAAATGTTAATTCAAAAAATAAAAATTCGTCTAAAAAATAATTATATCTAATAAAATTCTTTAAAATGAAAATTCTAACTAATGATTTTTATGGGATAATCATTCGCCCCTATTTGTCCGAAAAGTTTTATTTTCACGAATTTACATTTTTCTAAGTACACAAGTTTTACGCACTTTTGATTAAGAGTATAATAAAATTAAATGATTACATTTTATTAGATGAAAAAATATTAAAAAATATCAAATTTGATTATATAATATTATTTTATTTATTCATTTTGTTTAGCTTAAAAGTAAACAATAAACAATTTGATATTGGGCATTAATGGATTAATGAAAATTTAGTTGAATAAGATTTTTTTTAAATTATGTTAAATGTGCATTTAGTAGAAAAGGTCTACTAATAGAAATTCTGTTAAAGAAGAATCCAGAATAAAATTTCTTTGATATGAGAATTCGGTTTAATATAAAATTAAATTCAAAAAACTTTGCTAAATAAAAATTTGTTTTGTAATTTGATGCCTCAAAAATTCATTTAACTTTATTATGGGGAATATTCATGAGGCCCATTGATTTTTGTTGAAAATCACTTTTAATAAAATAAAGATTTTAGGCCATTTTTTTCAATGTCTGTTTTAAAGTTTATTGAGTGTTGTTCTTTAGCAATATAAATCATCTCAAGAAATTTTTTTTCAAAGAATTCTCTTCTGTGTTCAGAATTGTCACATTGTTAAAGTCAAAATTATACTTATTTTCAAATGTGTGAATTGCTAGAGCTGTAGGGTCAGTTAGGGTAAATCGAAACAGAAGTTATTTCAGTTAAATAAAAAACTTTAAAAATAAATACGGCCTTGTTAAGGGTTATCTGAGGTTCAAGGTTTGAGGCCGTATTTATTTTAAAAATTTTTTATTCAACAGAAATTTAATTTATTTAACAGATTTACCCCAACTGACTCTATTTTTTATATCTCTAGCATATTCGCATATTCTTGTAAGTAAATGTCTCAATGATTCTAATTAGAAGTGATTGTTTTTTAAATTTTCATTGATGGTTCTTTCAAAATGTTTTCAAATAAATTCATAATATTATTTTATTCTCTGTATAGAAGCATTTTTTTTAAGTTTAAGGTTATATCTGATATTGAATCCTATGCACTATTTTTGTCTAAATTAATCATCATAAAATAGCCAACTTTATTGCAAACAGCACGTGCGAGGTCGAAATGACAATAAATAATTTTATCAAATTCTCTCGTAAAGAGTTTGAATATCAATTATAGACTGATAATTAAAACCGCATTTTTAAAGAAATGTAAAGAGTAAATCATTAAATTATGAGCAACGGTTGCAATGCAATAAAGCGTTATTAACTGAAAATTAATTGGAAAAATATAACCTAAATGATTTGTTATAGAAATTTTTAACTTTAACCCCTTTAATTTTGTAAATAATACAGTTTTTGCAGTAAAAACATAATTTCAAAGGTAGAATTTAATAATAATAATAGGTAATAATAATAATAAATAAAAATTGCAATAAAAGTGTCAGAAATAAAAATTTCACTAGTAAAAAATATATGTGCTATAAACTAAAAATAAAATGTGCTTTAAAAGTGATTAAACATATAATTTGGTCTCTAGTAAATTTTGAATCCAAGAATGTTGAACTGCAACCTGAAAAATTTATTTAAATCTATTTCCGTGGAAACTAGTTAAATTTCCAGGACCACACAAAATTAAAATTTAATTTCAGCAGTGAGAGTGAAATATGAATTGCAAGTGAATCGAACGAAATATAAAATGGTTTTAAATTATTAAGTTACACGATTTAAAAGAGAACATTCCTCATGTCCTAAATAATGTGTTTGAATATGGTTTCATTTTAATTGAAAATAAAATTTATTTTCACCGCAAACATGAAATACAGAATTATACCACTGGAGAGTAATTCTGATATTAGTTATAGAGTCAAATGTGTTTCCATTGAAACGGAACGTGTTTTTGGCGATGTTCTCGTCACAAATCAAACTCAAGATTCTGTTTTTTGTAAAAATTATTTCCCAACCGTTTGGAGAAAGAAGAAATGTAATTTAATTGAAAAAACATTAGATAGTCCTGATTTTATGAAAATGAACAGCAAACCAGTGACTCGACGAAAAAGTACAATATGTCATATTTCTGGAACGGTGCAGAAGAATTTACAGAGATCAAAATCCGTTGGGGATGTTATTTTGAAGACAACAGACGATATACACAATTTTCAAAATCAGGAAATTTGGAAACAGAAGGTAGATTGGAAAAATTTTAATTTAATTGATTTTTATTTCGGCGGATAAATTTCCCATAAAAATCACAGTTAGGATTTTTATTTTAAAGAATTTTATTAAATATAATTAGTTTTTAGATGAATTTTCACTTTTCGATTTGTCAATTGACAGAATTTTCTTTTTAACCGAATTTTGACTTAACAAAATTTTCAGGTATATTTTTATTTTATATTTGTATTGTAGTTTCCAATTAAGTGAAATTATATTTTTTTACGAATTTTTATTTGATTGAATTTTTAAAACTCCAAATTTCCAGTTGTCTGAAATTGCCAATAAACAATCGACAGAAAAATTTCGGTGCTACTTAATTTTAAAATTAACCAATCACAATTTTCTTGATAATTTCTGTTTCTGTTTAATTTTAAAATTCGTGCCGAAATATTTCTATTGGTTGTTTTTGTCGTCGCAGTTTCAAACAATTAGTGTAAATAAAAATTTCGACAAATGAAGATTCGGTACCAACAAAATCTGCTAAGTAAAACGTTCGTTTTAAAAGAAATTCTGTCAAATGTAACGCATTCTCAAAAAAACACGTCACAAATGTTAATTTCATATATTATATAATTAAAAATTAAAATTTTTAATGAAAATTGAAAGAAGAATTTTTATGAGAAATTCATGCGCTCCATTTTATGATAACATAATTTTTTCATTTATGTAAATTCTGATTAAGTGTTAGAGAATATTCACAAAAGTAGAATTTAAAAATAATTTAAGTATAAAAAAATAAAATAGTATTGAAACTTTTTGCATTATTTTTGCATTTAACTTTGTTTATTTATTGAAAAGTATTTAAAAGATCATTAAAAGTATTTGTGATGAAAAAAATATATAAAACATTTTTAAAAGTCACATTTTTATGGTTTCTACGGTAATACTTAAACGAAGAAATGATTACAATTGATCGCTAAAACATGTCAAAGAAGCCATTAAGGTCGCGTAAATGGTGTGTGAATCTATAAAAAAAGTTGCATTTGAATCTTTTCGCGAGCTGTTGAAAAATATCTTAATATATATATATTTTTATAGTCTGAAAATATTTCATTGGAAAATTATAATTGTAAAGAAATCCAATTGTAAAAGAACAATAAATGGAAAAAATATGTAAAATTTTTGATTATTTAACAATTTTTGTTATTTTATTTTAGATTTATCCGGGGCCATTCGAAAATATAGAATTGATAAGTCGAGAAAAGACAGTTGCCACTTTAGTCGATCAACTTCTTTCGGATATTTATGGAATTTCAAGCAGTGATAAAGGAAAATCGGAAAGCGACTCATCGTTCTCTTCTAAATCACAACTACGACCTACCAATTTACAAAAAACTCGGCTTATGCTTAAAAGTAAGATGGTCTCAATATATATAATCGTATCAATATTTTATTATCTAATATGCGCAAATTTATATTTCTTCAGCAGCTATTATCTTGAAGGTAATCGTGTTTTTGAATAATTATGTAAATTGGTTCGTTAGCAACTATTATACCATTCAATTTAAACTCTATTCAATAGAGTTCCTTGAGATTGAAGACAATGAAAATTCAAATCTGTGAGATCGTCACAAAAACTTACTATTTATGTAATTTAAAAAATTTCACATTTTTATACAAAATTGTTTACATTCAGAGAAAATATATTTGTCCCAGAGCTAAATAAATATCTGTTTAAGCCTCGGATTGTACGACTTTTTCCGACTTTTCTGTAAAATTCGACTTTTTTCGACTTATTTTAAAATAAAAAATTAATTAATTTATTAAATTAAAAACAAAATACCTATGAATTTTTTTAATATAATTAATTGTTGTTCTTCTAAAATTAAATTATCTTAAAAGTTTGAATCTTAAAGTCTGTGAATTTAGTTATTTCCAATACTTTTAATGAAACTTAGTGATGTACAATGAGACGAGAGAGCAAAACACCTTCGTAAAATTCTAATAACTAAATTACATCACTATTTAAATATTTTCAAAACCTTAAATTTTTTGGAGCACTAAAAAACAATTTGTTTATATTGGTTCCACATTATTCTCAATATGACCATAATTGGTCTATTAATGTGTGAATAAAGGCTTAGTTTATCCTTGAAAACGCAATGATAATCAACTCCAATCGTGCTTACTATACTTTTTTTTGTAATCTACACATAAAAATACGTAAAAATGTATAAATTTGAAGCCCTTAAGATAAAATTTTCTTCTTTTTTTATTTAAAAAATCCCTGATTTTTTCTAAAAATATGCGTTTTCCTTAAAAACAATATGAACATCAACTCCAACCATGTTCGATATATTTTTCTTGTTATTTTCACGTATAAATACATAAATGTACTAAACTTAAGCTCTCTATGTGAAAAGATTTGGCCACCAGAGGGGGGGACGGGTACATAGTCATTTTTAGGGATTTTTCGTAAAAATTCATGGTTTTTTTCTTGACAACGCTATGATAATCAATTCCTATGAGATTCGCTACATTTTTCCTGTAATCTACACGCCAAAATACATATGTGTATCAAATTTCAGCCCTCAAGATAAATTCATGTGGCCGATAGGGGGGGGGGGGGGGTACATGCCTTGCTTTACTAGTCTCATTAATAGGGTTCCCTCTTCGGGTACGGAACCCTGAAAATGTGTAAATTTCAGTAATTTTTTCTCAAACACATTGAAATAAATCGATGCAAGTTTTAGTAGATGTATTATTATATATTTAAACCTTTGAAATATAATTTTTTCTTAAAAAAAAAAATTTAATAATATTATTGCCTTCTGTATGAATTAAAATATTTCAATAGAAAGTAAAAATTTAAAATTTTACGTGACTTTTTGAAAAAAAATTAATTTTCGACAAAAAAATCTAAGTAGTTAAACAAGGCAAGTGCGGGACCACTTACCGACCGAGGTCTGTAATGTAGGAATCTACTTTACCGACTAAGTTATTTCCAGCCGCCACCGCTAGATGGCGCCACTTTCGATTACCCGGCCAATTCAAACCCGTTTGGCGGAAAATTTGAATTTTTAAAGTGACTTGGTGATCTACATTAACGACTGCGCTAGTTCCGACTGACACTGATAGATGGCGCCACTATATTTTCGCGCCAAATTCAAAATGGCTTGCAATGTCGAAAAAATTTTTTCAAACAATTTAAAGTGGTTTGGAGTGGTGTGTTTGAATTTCCCGCTCAATTTACCGACCGAGTTAGTTTGGGCTGCTTTCGCAAGATGGCGCCACTAAATTATCGTTCAATTTAAAGTCGCTTGACGGGAGTTTAAAATTTTTATTTTTACAATATGAAGTCCCTTTGCAGGATATTTGAATAAACCCATTTTTTTACCAACCTTGTTAGTACTGGCTGTTTTCGACAGATAGCGCTACTGTAATTTGCGAATTAATTAAAAAAATTTAATAAAACTTTTTCATTAACTTTCCTTTATACATTTTTTTAACTTTATTATATCCGTGAATTGGTCATAAAGTTGATTTTTATTCATTCTATTAAATTAAATCATGTGTATATCTTAAGAGTAGTTTACACATAGTTACAGTCACTTACAGACTGGGAGTCCGGCAATAACTAATTAAAATACAGCATTGAAAGTCTTGAACAATAGCAATTGAATTAGAAGAAAAGATTCCCAAGAAGCACGTAATATATCCTCAATATCAAGGTAATATTACACGTGAGATTCGTAATATAACGCTGTAATATTACAGTAATCTTACAGTGATCTTAAAATGTCCGCCTCAAGGTAATATTACCGGGAATATTACTGTAATATTAACGGTAATATTACAGTAATATTACAGACTGATTCGAGTTATTTATAAAGCATAAAAAACGTAAATATATTATAAGTCAATTTGGCTTGTTGGTAAAACTCTGGACTCGTGTGCTTTGAGTTCGGGGTTCGATTTCCTGGATGGGTAGATTTTTTTCGTAAAGAAATGTTCCCATAATATTACTGTAATATTCTCTTGTAATATTACCTTAATATTACGGTATAATATTACTGCAATATTACTGTAATATTACCTTAATATTAGCGCGTAATATTACAGTAACATTACCGGTAATATTACCTTGAGGCGGACATTTTAAGATCACTGTAAGATTACTGTAATATTACAACGTTATATTACGAATCTTACATGTAATATTACCTTGATATTGAGGTTATATTACGTGATTCTTGGGTAGAAAGAACTGAGTAGAAAGAATGTTAAGTTGGTATCAGTGTTCTTGATTAGCGGAAATTTAGACTGAACGAAGCGTTTCTTTAATAGTTAAAGATTTTATCCTTTTTAAATTAAATAAAAGCTGTTATATGAAACAAATATAGGAAAGATGGTGAGTATTCAATATAATTGTTTAAGTATTTGAAATATATATATATATATGTGTGCGTGTGTGGGACTTTAAAAATTGTTTTAAAAAAATGTATCTGAAAGATGACATGTGCTCTTTTTTTTTAGAATTTTAAAAATCACCCTATACTCTGCAGCGGATGCTGCTTCTGTCGTTTCATTTCTTTCATTCGTCCTTGCGTAAGTGTTGAACAATTTAGAATATAAACCCTGCCGGAAGGTGGTGTCCAGGATTGGTACTGGAAAATTGGAACTGAGGGCTCAGTACCGACTCAGTACTTATTTGGTGCATTTTGGTACTAAAATGGAACTGGGAAATTTACCTGCGAAAAGGATCGAGTTACCGATAATACCCTCATAAAAGTGAAAAGCGAGTAGCTTTTTCAATATGTTTAAACTAATACTTTATATTTATTTCAATATTATATTTGTTTTTCCTGGATTTATATTATTTTCATACATTATTATGCATATGATATGTCTTTTAGCAGCTAAATTCAAAAATGATGTCCATTTTTTTGTCAAACTTAAGGTATAAGAGAAAAGTTATAATTTTTTTAAATGTAATTATTTTTTGATAAATTTTAGATATTCATAATATGGAAATATTAACAAATCTCAATATATATTTTTTAAAGTTGAGTTATTAAAATTATAAATTTTTTAAGCAATAAAACTCGGGTTAAAATTTTAATCCTTCAACAAAGGACCTAGGGGTCTATTGTTCAAGGAGGGATTGCAATATAATTTCCAAACTTAACAGAAATTTTCTACAAACTATATTATGTTTTTTTTTGCTGTTTTACACGTATATCGTAACAGACGGTTTGTTAATCTTATATACCTTCAAAACTATTGTTAAAGTACTTTAAAAATGTCTTCTTATGGGTTATCAGGTAGTGGTACTGAAGTGGAACTCAAGCCAAGTCCAATTCGGTACCATTCCAGTACCACTCTTTCGGTAGGGAATATAAATCAATTTCTCATAGACGAAAACTTTAATCAAACATAATCTCAATTGTCATCGATTATTGGTCCTGTATTGATTTCGATAATTATCACAATAATTAATACACTTGTTGAGAATAGTATGTTATTTACATTATCACAAAAAAATGATTTAATGTTTTTTCAGTTGTATCCTGAATATAATGCACGTAATGTGATGCCGACTCCAAGCTTCATCCCGTCGAGTACCCAGCAGTTGAGACCAAGCTGGAACCCGTTGAGTACCCAGCAGTTGAAACCAAGCTGGAACCCTAACAAAGCACAATTAAACAAGATACTCAACCAGAAAATTAATCGCAAAATCCCACTTAGGAAAAGCCAGATGAGTCACAAAATCCCATTTAGGCAATCACACCAAAACCAGAAAATTCATTAAAAAAACACCACTCTGTCAAATACACAAAATCCAAAATCATCATCGAGCTCTTCAACATCAAGGTTGAGTTCGTCAACTTCAAGCTCAACTTCGAGTTCATCAACTGATGATGACGACGAGGAACAAGTAAACGGTGTTGCAAAAGATCCTTGCGTAAGACAGCCGACAAGACCTGGACCTATTCATACTGGGCATAAAAGGGAATGAAAAAAATACTAAAAAATAAGAATGACAAGAAAAAAAAGCACAAGAAGAGGAAATAATAATTTGTAGGTGTTTTCCTTTAAAGATATTCTTTTACTTTATTTTATATTGAATTTGTTTTATTTTGTTTTTCATTATAAAACTTTTTTTTGTTTCTCATTTTAAATTAACAAAGAATGTTACTTAACTTGAGAATGTTTAAAGATCATGAGTAAATGATAACTGACTGTGAATATTACCTGAATGTTAAGTTTAATCGTGATAAAAAATATTAAGTATTAAAAATACAGATGTTCACTGTTTGTGAAATGGTGATAATTAAAAATGTTAAATGTTCACCGTAATTCTGAATATTTTAAAATTTTAAGTGATTTATTTTTACATTTTTCCTGACATT